ACAAGTTGTGTGTGAGATCATGAAGACTTGAATTTGGCTTATTCAGTAGCCTACTCAAATGTTATATCTATCTACACTGTAAAAAAATTGCTGTAAAATTTATAGTAACTTACTAGCAATTTTGTTTGACTGTAAATTTACAAAAGTACTGTTAATCAATTACAGTTGTACTGTAAAAATACTGCAAACTCTTGTATGCTGTAAAATTACAGTAGAAAAGTTTATGAATGCGAGTGAAATTACAAGAGCACAAGAAATTACAGTGAAGATTTTTCACTGCTGCGATGGTGTGTGAACATTTGGTTAACTTATTTAATTTGAAGCCCATTGAGAAGGAATATTTCTTAGAATAAAACTACAAACACAATGTATAATAGTAAAATCATTGCAGTTTATCGTCAGCTATAGCACACATGTATGTAATGATAAATTTATCAAAGAGATCATCACTGCATCAACACCACTTTTATTGCTTTTAAATAATGCAGCAAAACCTTGATGTTTGTGGCTCATCATTGACTGAAGCACAGGCTCTACTCTCCAGCACAATGGTGACCCACAAAACTACATTAAACGGATCTGGGCCCGGTTCCCCAAAACGTTCTTATCGCCAAGTAGTTCTTAACCTGTTCCTTAACCTCTCTCTTAACGTTATGGCATGATTCCCGACACGTTCGTACGCTAAGTATATCTTCTGTAAGTCACACTTTCGTAAGGTTGGTCTGGACCATTCGTAAGCTCTCTCTTAGCGTTGTTTGAGCTCAAGACGCTAGTCACCGCCACTGTGCAGCAGTCTTTAGAAATCAGCGCAGTACAAGTCAAACTATGGTATGTTAATGTTACTGGAATAATTTGAGGAATGTTTCATTTGCATAAAACGTGTTGTCTTTCTTAACGCCATAATGCACCTTCGTGTGAAGTGGAAAATCGATTCCTGAGCAATCGATGCCAACTAATTCAGCACCTTCACTTGGGACAGCGCCTCTGTAACGTCGAACGTAAGAGGCAGCGTGTTAAGAAGCTTCCTAAGGGACACTTCGGGGAACACACTTAGGAACATAAACAACTTTGGTAAGATATATGTTTCGAGTCTTCTTAGCGCGCTAAGAGTGAGCGTTATCGGGGAACCGGGCCCAGATCTCTCTTGTGCAAAAACACATTAATACAGTTCAGTTAAATATTTACTCTCCTTATAGATAATTCTGTGATTAATTAAGTGATGATTGTGCTTTAGAGATGAACAGCTGCTGTTAACAAGCAGAATCACTGAATGAAAGAGAAACACCAGAACTACAACTGACTTCAGTCACAGCCTTAGATGAAATCAACTGAAATACAGGATATCATTAAATCTCTCAAGATCTGAATAAACAACTCCACAAACAGCATTACCAGCTTCACACATTACAATTTGACTTTATTTCTGTCTTATATCTACAAAATTCTTTGAGAATTAAAAGAGGTTTAGATGTTTTATTGAAAATGTTTTGTTTGACCTCACCATTATGGCGATCAGGGTTTTCTTTAGTTGGACTCTTGACCCTTGACTTTTTAATGCAACAATTTTTTTTTGGTTGCTGTAACGCTGTTTGTAGAGTACATTTGTACTAGAGCCAAGAAAATGTGTGTTAGTATGTGATTTTGGTTAATTAATGATAATGCAGTAATCACTATCTAGTGGTTTGATTCAGCGGCAAAACTTTAATGAGGTTGTGTTGATTTTTTTGCTGGTGTCTTGTTATTTACAAAAGCTATATGACCCTGCATGATATGACGAACTGCTACTGAAGGATTTTAACAACATCTTATGCACGAAACCTACGATACTACGGCATAATTTACACGCACACAGATATCAAGAATCAGCATATGAATCTCAACAATGATGACAATAAAAGGCTTCATGCTGCAATGCATGCTGGGTTACCAGCACAGTACAAAACTCACCCATGACTCCCAGCATGCATTTCGGCATGAATAAATTATGCCGCTGAATTGTCCACTTATTTCTTTAATTCTTACTATGTGCTTTTATTTTTGCTTTAGTTCTTTGTTGAGTTATAGTAGCGTGTTTTGTGATGTTCAGAGTTTATCTTTTTATTTATTTTGTTGATGGTCACCGTTGTTGAGATTCATACACTGATTCTTGATGTGTGTCTCACAATTCAGCTCAAAAAGGTTTTATAAACAATCTTTCATAACAGCCTGCTTTGTTTTGTTCTGATGTAGTGTATCATTGTTTCACAAGAGAAGAGACCCAGGACAAAATCAATGAACCTGGTGTTTAGTGTCTGGTTACTAATGAGTGAAATTGGTAATGCTGTTTTCGGAGTTGTTTAATCAGATCTTGAGAGATTTAATGATGTCTTGTATTTCAGTTGATGATGAGCCACAAACACTGATGTTCTGCTGCTTTATTTAAAGGCAGTAACTGTGGAGTTGATGCGGTGACGATCTCTGTGTTAAGTGCTTCAGCACATATATGTAGCTGACGTTGAACTGCAACGATCTGAGTTAAAGTCATGTTTTTAGTTGCTTTACTATTACACATTAAGTGTTTGCAGTTTTATACTAAGAAATATTTCTTCTCAGTGGACTCAAAAGAAATAAGTTAACCAAATGTTTACACAATCACAGCAGTGAAACATCTTCACTGTAATTTCTTGTGCTCTTGTAATTTCACTCACATTCATAAACGTTTCTACTATAACTTTACCGTGATAGCTATAAAAAAAAACAATTTTACAGCATACAAGAATTTGCTGTATTTTTACAGTACAATTCTAATTATTTTACAGTACTTTTGTAAATTTACACTCTTACTGGCAACCAAAATTGCCACTAAGTTACTGTAAATTTTACAGTATTTTTTTTACAGTGGAATACAGTGGAATACTGCAATATATATTTTTATTATTAGGCTATTATTATTATTATCCCCTCACTGGGGGCTGAGCCCCCTCCTAAAATGAAAATCCTAGAATCGCCCCTGCCGCCAAGCCAGAGGCGTCATCCATTCATTCCATCCATCTAAAGTCAAGCCCACTGGCCGTTCATAAGTCAAGCCCGCTGGCCATTCGTCAGTCATGTCAAGTCAGTCATGGGCTCCAGCCCCCGAATCCAGCCCAAAGAGAGCTCCAGTTCCTGAGTTTAGCCCACGGAGGGCTCCTGTTCCCGAGTTTAGCCAACAGAGGGCTCCTGTTCCCGAGTTTAACCCACAGAGGGCTCCTGTCCCCGAGTTTAGCCCAGTGAGGGCTCCAGCCCCCGAGTTTACCCAGTGAGGGCTCCAGTCCCCGAGTTTAGCCCAGTGAGGGCTCCAGCCCCCGGGTTTAGCCGAGTGAGGGCCCAAGTCCCTGAGTTTGGCCCAGAGAGGGCTCCAATCTCCACGTCAAGCCTAGGGAGGGCCACAGTTCCCGAGATAGGCCTATGGAGTGCCTCTAAAGACTATATTCTCCCCAAGGATTTTTTTTTTTGGGGGGGGGGGGTAGTAGAGGTCCATCCGTGGAGGCCGGGCCGAGTGCTGAGACAAGGCTCCCTGTTCCGCCATGGCCTCCTGAACTGCCTGCTCCGCCATGGCTTCCTAGTCTGCCTGCTCCGCCATGGCTTCCTAGTCTGCCTGCTCCGCCATGGCTTCCTAGTCTGCCTGCTCCGCCATGGCTTCCTAGTCTGCCTGCTCCGCCATGGCTTCCTAGTCTGCCTGCTCCGCCATGGCTTCCTAGTCTGCCTGCTCCGCCATGGCTTCCTGAACTGCCTGCTCCGCCATGGCTCCCCGAGCTCCCTGTTCCGCCATGGCATCCTGAATTGTATGCTCCGCCATGGCCTCCTGAACTGCCTGCTCCGCCATGGCTTCCTAGTCTGCCTGCTCCGCCATGACTTCCTAGTCTTCCTGCTCCGCAATGGCTCCCCAAGCTCCCTGCTCCGCCATGGCCCCTGAGCTCCCATGGCATGCTGGACTGCCTGATCCACCCTGGAGGTATTCCCGGGACCCAATCCTGCACCAGCCTCCCCCTCCCTGGTGGAATTGTTACGGCGTGAGACGCGCCTTGCGGGAGGGGGGAGTAATGTCAGACTCTGTTTCTGTCTTGTGTTGTGTTTTGTTCCCCACGTGCTCCATGTTATGTTTATGCCCTTATTTGGTCTTCCTGTGATTAGCAGAGTTGGAACTTTCAAGTCACAAGAAAGCCTTCAAGTCATATCCCAAGTCCTCAAAGAGTTAAAGTTAATGAGATAATTAAGTGACTAATTAAATGATGATTGTGCATTAGTGACGAACACCTCCTGTTATTGAGAATTATAGGGGATCAGATGTTGATGTTTTATTGGTTAAAATGATGGCACCATCATGGAGATCAGTGTTTGCTTTAGTTGTGCTCTTGACCCTTGACTTCTGAATTAGATCATTCTTAATAGCATTGCATGCGGTGTTTTGAAACAGAGAGCTTAGTGCTATGCTGTGAGCAGCTGTTTTTATGTGATGAGAAAGTTATCATGAGCTGACCTGGTTATAGTCAAAAGATGTTACATATTTATGTTTTGCATAATCAACCCTGTGAAACTACAGCATGTAAAACAAAGTGCTGCTCTAGCAGTTACTATGAATGAATTTTAAATTTTTGTAATGCATATACAAGTTTGATCTCCAGTGCTAATCAAACACACACAGACATCAAGAACCAGCATATGAATCTTAACAATGGTGACAATCAACAAAATGCTTCATGCTGCAATGCATGCTAATAGTAAAAACTCCCATCATGCACTGCAGTATGAATAATTATTGTCACCACTGTTGAGGATCATATGATAAGTGTTCATGTCTAAAAGCCTGAGTGACACAGATTTCTTTTTAACCAATATTGAAGCATTATGGTGGTATTTGTTTAGTGCGATACTTACCTGGCAGGGGAGACACCATGATCAATAAGGTGGTTCCCCCAGGGTCCGAAGACTTTTCTCTAAAGCTTTCGACTTGATTTACCTTTGGGGATTTGAGAGATAAAATGGCAAAGCAAGGACAACGGCGGAATGCTGCTCGATTTGTGTTATTGGAGGATCCGGAAATGGACCATCTGTCTTTTAGCAGAAGGATACTGCAAAGTGAACTGGGATTTAATCCTGCTCAGCTTGACTTCGTCTTCGCCTTACCGGGTAGGAAAACTTTTGAAGTGGTGTTTACTACCCTTGTGCTATATGAACAATGTCTGGAAAGGTTTCAAAGAAAGAAGAAAGAGTCTGCTTGTTTTCAAAAGATTGATTTGATCCCATTGGCCGAGAGAGAACTCAGAATAGTGACTGTGGTGATGTATTCAGAGAGGTATAAGCTTGAGGATATTTCTACGTGGCTTACATTGCATTGCTCAGTCACAAAAGCTTTTCAAATTAAAGGCGAAGATGGAGTTAAGACAGGAGCATCAAGATTCCAGGTTCGTTTGAGAACTAACGAGAAAGGTGAGCTCTCCCACCTGCCGTCTATGATCCAATTAGGCTCTATTCGAGGCTTTGTGTTCTACAACGGCCAACCCAAGGAGTGTAGGAAATGTGGATCTTTGAATCATCTAGCAGCCCAATGTGAATTTGTAATTTGTGTGGGGCAACTAATCACAGATTTCGGGACTGTCCATCTGCATATGCAAATAAAACTCGTCAGCAACTTGGGGAGATCCGAGAAGGGGATATAAACGTTCCTGAAATACCCAACATGGAGGAGGACATCTTCAGAGACCGTCAGTCTTTAGTTCCAGACACTATGGAGGAGCAGTGTGCCGGGATAACTTTAAGACAAACCTCACCCTCAAATTCAGGGGAAGAGAACTTAGGAGGATTGGGAGGGAAAAGTGATGTAGAACCTGAAGAAAGTGTCCAACGTCCAATGGAGCACGATTCACATCGAGAGTTGAACAAGCTGGGCTCTCTTGTAGATTTTCCTCCTTTGGGTGAGCCTTCCCAAGAACAGAATTCTCAGTTCTTTAATCGGAACATCCTACTTGACGCCTTAGAATCACTTCCAACATCTCTGCCTCTACTGTCGGACTCCTCTCCACCAGGAGATTCTTTAGTAGAAGTAAGAAATTCCTCACCAATCACTAATGTTCCACGGGGAATACAGGATCAGGAGGATTCACCTAATTGGTCATCCTTATCTTCCAATTCAACTCCCTTTCTTGATTGTAGTGAAATGACTGCCTTTGCTTCCACTACACAAATGAACAAAGAATTAATTTCAAAAGGAATGGAAATGCAGAGGAAAAAGAAAAAGAGGAAAAGATTGAAGTGTAAAATGGAATCCCCCTAAAGATGGTCCCCCCCCCCTTTCCTTCCTCTCTCTTCACACTCAATGACCTCTCTATCTTTAGCCTCAATCAATACAAGAGGTATTATGGATCCGGTAAAATGTACTTCTGTTTTATCATATTTGAATAATGCAGGCCACGATATTTGTTTACTTCAGGAATGTAATATTCCTTTTAAACAGGATTATAAAAATCTAGAAGATAGGTGGATATATGGTCAATCAGTGTGGTCTGGGGATAATAATAATATATCTTCTGGTGTGGGTATTCTTTTGAAGGGTAATTCCTTGAAAGTTCTTAAAACACGGGAGGTTATAAATGGGAGATTAATATATGTGGATCTAAAACTTAACGACTTTTGTTTTTGTGTGATTAACGTATACTTTCCTGTGGATCTACAAGGCAGAAAGGAAGCTTTGAAAGCACTATCACCTTTATTGATTTGTGGGAAAGAGATAATATTAGGAGGGGATTTTAATTGTCCTTTAAGCCAGAGTGATCGACAATCTAGTTCAAATGTTTCACTGGATTCAAGTTCTCAAGAATTAATCAATTTAGTAAAAGATTTTGGTTTAGTAGATACTTTTAGAACTAAACACCCAGATAGTCCTGGGTACAGTTGGTCTAATGGTCGTAGCTTTTCCAGAATCGATTTCTTGTTTACTTCATCTCAAATAACAGTACTGAATGCGGGGATAAACGCAACTTTTTTCTCTGACCACTCCAAGGTGAAAGCTGAGTTGCTTTTTGGAGGGACAAGAGTGAAAGGTACTGGGTTATGGAAATTAAATACTAGCTTATTAGACAACCAGGAAATTGTAACCCGATATAAAGAAAAATTGATCCAATGGAAAAGTTTACAGCCACTATACGAGTCGATTGGTGAATGGTGGGAAGATTTTAAAATTAGAACAAAAAATTCTTTATAAGAGAGGGTAGAAAAATTAAAAGGAAAGAAGCTTTTCTATGTAAATTATATCAAAAGAAATTACAACAATTCTATACTATGGCTCACTCAGGTTTTAATATAGTAGACGATATTATGAGACTTAAAAAACAAATATCAGACATTTACGCAGACCAAAGTAGGAGTTTTATTATAAGAAGTAGAATACAACATATTGAATCAAATGAAAAGTGTACCCGGTATTTTTTTAGGAAAGTGTTTCGGTCCAAGACTGTTATAGAAGAATTAAAAAAACAAGATAATGAAGTCATAACTGAAACAGAGGATTTAATTTCATATATTCACTCATTTTACCAAAACCTTTACTCTGAAAAGAAAAAAGATGAGAGAGTTATGGGTGATTTCCTTTTTAAAAGTGTTGTTGAACACAATTTTTCAACTGCGATGGATAAAGAGTTCACGATTAACGACCTTACAAAGGCATTAAAGAGTATGAAAAGTAATAAAAGTCCAGGTGTAGACGGCCTGCCCAAAGAATTTTATGAGAAATTTTGGGAGGAGTTAAGTGAGATGATGCTGAAAATGTTTAAAGAAAGTTTTAGTCTGGGTATACTTCCCCCAACATTGAGAGAGGGTATTGTCACTCTGTTATTCAAAAAGGGAGATAAATCTGATCTAAAGAATTGGCGCCCTTTGTCCTTACTGGGCACTGATGTGAAGATATTGTCAAAAGCGATTTTTTTTTTTTTCCAACTCAGTATAGAAAGCTTAATCGGGAAGGAACAAACATGCGGGGTAAAAGGTAGATCCTTACGTCAGAATTTGTCTTTAATAAGAGATACGTTCCTTTACACACAGGATCGAAAATTACCTTTATGTGTTGTGGGATTAGACTTAGAAAAGGCTTTCAATAGCATAGATCACATTTTCTTACGTAAAATGTTACAGAGTTATGGTTTTGGGGAACCAATTCTTAGATGGATCAATTTATTATACACTGGATGCCAGAGTCGCATATTGGTGAATGGCCATCTAACACCACATGTTACTGTCCGTTCAGGAGTGAGAAAGGGATGTGGTTTATCTCCTTTACTCTTTGTATTAGCCATAGAACCACTAGCCCAAGTTATTAGGCAGAGTTCTGAATTAAAAGGATTATTAATGCAGAAACTAGACCAGTTATGTATAATACAATGTTGCAGATATTAAAGAGAACATCTTGGTCTGACATTCAGATTGGGAGTTTAAATAGACAGTTAATAGAGGAAAAGCTTTCCCCATCTTTATTTAAGATGACTCCTGTAGGACATCTTATTGAATCAGAATGTATTATGGTTTGGAAGAATGTGAACGATGATTTCTTGTTTAATTGCCATAAGGATATCGCTTGGCAGGCTGTACAAAACTGTTTATCTGGCTTTTTTGAAGAGGAGAGGTTGTTCTCGTTTTTCTCTGTGTCCTAGAGCAAACTGTGGAGAAGAAGAGACAATAAGACATTGTTTGTGGGAATGTGTTTATGCCCAGAAGGTTTGGGGTTCCATTCGATTATGGTTATACAATTTGTACAGAGTGCCAAGTGAAAGAGATATTTGGTATGGAGAATTGGAAAAGGTTCATTGTAAAAAATGGATACGGTGGTGGGCAATTATAAATGTTTTTAAGGAAGCACTATGGAAATCTAGGAATATTTGCGTCTTTCAGAAATATGAGATCCCAGTTAAATCAGTAACAACATCAAGTTTAAAATGCATAGAGGATTACAGTTTAAGAGATGGACAGAAATTGTCAGTTAACGCAACCGATAAGTTATGGAACATACCAAATGTCCCTCCTTTCAATATGGTCTTAAATATTGGTTAATTCTTATAAATATGTGTAAAGGATAAAGGGTAACAGATTGATTTAAATATATGATTGTATGATATGTATTTATGAAGGAACGTACCTGTCTCTGTATTGTGATGTAAGGAAAAAAATAAAATAAAAAATAAAAATAAAAAAAAAATTAGTTTAGTGCGATTTTTTTTTTTTTTTTCCTCACAGTTCAGTAATATCTGAACGTCAGTCAAAAAACCAAAGAGACCACTTTATGATGTTCATTCGTCATGAGTTATAGGCAGTTCACGTCTGCAGTTGGTTCAGAATGCAGCATCTCGGCTCCTTTGTGGGAAGAGTAAACACGAGTCTATCACACCAATTTTGATCTCATTGCACTGGCTTTCAGTCAAAAACAAAATTGATTTTAACATTTTACAGTTTGTCTATATATCTCTCCATAATCAGGCTCCTCAGTACCTATCTGATTTGTTGCATCTATACACTCAGTCAAGATCACTCAGATCTGCCGATGCTAGTTTACTGCAAGTTCCCAGGGCAAGACTCAAAAACAGGGGTGATTTATTTTGCAGCAGTTTGGTTGACTTCGGTTGTTTTTAAATGTGCTACATAAACATTGTATTGTGTTGTTCTATAATGTGCATGGGCATTGTTTAGTGAGAGTTACAGAAGGACAGAGTTCATCTTCTGCTAGTGTCCCTGTTCTGGCCATCCCGCATACATTGCAGAAATCTCCTTGAAAAATCCTGATCCATCACTACATGATGACTAAATCAACAATAAGTAACCATCACCATCTGATCAGTTTGTGTTCTCACAACTTTTGCTATAACAAACGTGCTTCAGAAACAGTTAAGGCACTCAAAAAAACATTAAAAACAAAAAACCAAGGGTCAAGAGCTCAACTAAAGCAAGCGCTTACCTCCATAACAGTGATTTCAAACTTTATTATTTTCAATAAATTAGCGCTAAGGTTTCTTGGAGGCTAAGTGAGGGCTGCCCATGCAGGGCCAGTGCTAAGGGGCCAACGTTTTGCCAATGAGCAAATTCTCAGGGGCGCTGCGCTGGCAGCCCGTAAAGGGCCAGTGCAGGCTTGTTTGCAGGGTATCACTGGAAATTAAGTGTCCCCAACTAAGCAAGCCAGAGGCGACAGCTGCAAGGAACCAAAACTCCATCAGTGACAGAATGGAGAAAAAAACCTTGGGAGAAACCAGGCTCAGTTGGGGGGCCAGTTCTCCTCTGGTCAGACGAACCAACAGTTCAATTCCAGGCTGCAGCAAAGTCACATTGTGCAGAGGACTCATCTGGTTCCTGTGTTCTTGTCCCGGTGGCCGTCTAGGAGACAGGATCTTCACTGGGGATCTGTCTCTGGGGCTCATCTAGTTGTCCTGATCTCTGCTGACATTCAGGGCTGTAGAGGTCATCTCTAGGTGCTGAGCCACAATCTGGGCTGGATACATACTGGATTCGGGTGACTGCAGTGACCATCTGATCTGGATACAGACTGGATCTGGTGGCTACGGTGACCTCGGAATAAGAAAGAAACAGACTACTATTAGCATAGATGCCATTCTTCTAAATATGTAGCAAGTACATCAGGTGTTATGGGAAGTGTTCCCGGTTCCAGTTGTCCTAATTAATGCAGCCTAAAAATCCTTTAAAGGATTTGAATATTAGAAATGTGTTAGTGTGTTATGTGTAAGCCAGGTTGAAGAGATGGGTCTTTAATCTAGATTTAAACTGACAGAGTGTGTCTGCCTCCCGAACAATGTTAGGTAGGTTATTCCAGAGTTTGGGTGCTAAATAGGAAAAGGATCTGCCGCCCGCAGTTGATTTTGATATTCTAGGTATTATCAAATTGACACGTAGGAGCCTTGGATTGGATCATTATTGCAGAAATTAATATGTTTCTGGCATGTTGTATGTTTGGCAACAATTCTTTGATCCCCAACTGATGCAGTGTGTAGCTTTTTCAGCCATCATTCAAGGATGATAAAGTTCAGATTTATTGGGTTCCAACTGTGAAACAGTGGTTCAGTGAGCATGAAGAATCTTTTTCTTTTATGAATTGGCCACCACAGAGTCTCTCCTCTTCTATTGTTAATAAAAGATCTTGACCAAAGATTAACGCAACTCTTGATGGAAATAAATGCTGTGGCATTGCATAATGCTGTTTAATAAATCATAATAAAACAATGCCACAATGAATGCATTATAATGTATAATAATGCGTAATAATGATTTGATCCTAAAATCTTAAAGCTGGAGTCCTCTTTCTCTGTTTGAAACCGGCAATTGCCGTTATTTGTGGAATTATCTACTTTACGTGGGTTGTGCATGGCTCCAGTGCACATGAATCTAATGTTTTGAGGAGTATGTGTGGCTGTCAGTCACCTGTCAGGATACTGTACTTCAGAATCACATATTCTTGCCTATTGCTTGGAATATATGACCCAAATAAGAATTTTCACCAGATATTGTCATCTGAACAAGTTAGTAACAAGTCTGCCACTTTTGTTCTGACCAACTGAGGAAAAGCATTACAATAAATCGCAATACAAATGTTGATTAAATCTAACGATCGGTTAGTACATATCACATCAAACCGTGCAAATTATTATTGTTATAATATTATTAGTGTATGTATTAGCATATAGATTAAAATTTTTGTACAGTCTAATCTCTAGTTGTCATACCATTTGAATTTCATATAAAAAAATTTTTTACCGAAAAAGCAAATTTTCCTTAGAACTGGTTCTATTTAAAATACAAATCTTGTGTAATGCCACGTAGGCAGATGTAATTAGATGCACATTTAAAACTGGAATATAATCTAATTTCAGTCACATGTGTTTCAAAAACACCTGCAGGATCCTCACATATAGCCAATTAGCTGGGACAACTTCTTTATCGGGACAACAGATGTGACAATGACGTGGCGGCATGCTAAATTTTCCCGCGAATTCCTACCAGTACCACTCAGATAAAAAAATATAATTATAGGCTTACTGTAGTGAATTGGGTAAGGATGTAGTTTTGAATACTGGCTAGGCTATGTACTTGCTCAAAAAGTTATTTCAGATCATTTTTAACCAAAAAAAAAAAAAAAAAAAAAGGTAGGGACTGCAGCTTTTAGTTTTTTTCTTATTTAAATCTAAACAGTGATTTGTTTTATTTAACACAACTTCAGTCTCATTTATTACAAATCACTTTACTGTTCAGTTTGTATTTATAGGGAAAAAACAAACAAATTAACAAATAAACCCAGTAATATCAGTGATAGGAATTTTCTTAAATAATCTAAAATTATTTTCTATTCCTCTCAGAATCCCCTGGACAGGACTTTGTGACACTGGACTATCGACTACGCTATTACCCAAGTATCACATATGCAGTTATTGGCAGTGCCATCATCTTTGTCCTGGTAGTGGCATTGCTGGCCCTTGTCCTGCACCATCAGAGGAAGCGAAGTGTCTTGCTGCCACAGGGGGTCTACAGAGGTTCTTGCCACCAACCACTCCTGCTCTCCCGGCTTGTCATACTGGACAGAGGACATGCCCATCCTGGAAGCCATGACCTTTCACCCCAGTGTTCATCCTCAACAGAGGCATTCAGCTCAGTCCATAGTCTCCAGTTGCTCTCTTTTTCACAATATCCAAGAACTGTGATAGACTTGCCACCATCATACTCACAGGCTGTACTGGATGCTGGGTATGCTTACAAATACAAATGCTAAGAATAGTGGTTGACCAACATTAATTTTTTTTTTCTTAAAAATCTTAGAGAGTAAGGTGGCCAATGGCTGATATAAAGCTGAAATATGGGATATCATTATTTAATTTAAAGGTAGTAAATAACACGTGCTGTAGAAATGCGCGGATGACCTCAAACGTCACCCGAATCCACTGCTTTTGCCCGCCACCCCTGTGCACCTATATTTTTCTCTGATTTAGATATCCCGCCCCAACCCGCACCAGACCGTCACATTACATTGATTCTAATTCTTAAGTTTTGCATGATGATATGATGAATGGATGGTTCATTTTTAACAGCAGATTCAGTGATGTGAGAGCTGATCTGCTCATCACTGCACACATCTGTGATGCATTACGGCTCCGACATGGCCACCAGAGCTGATCGCGGCCACTCTAGTCAGTGCTTGTGTTTATACCAGCCGCGCTGTTGCATGTTTATGAAGCATCCCAAAATCTTGTGGTCTCGCAAATCCAGTTGCTTCGCTCCTAGTGTGAGTTGGTACTGCGTTGAAGACGGAGCCGTAAGGGGTAACAGTAACATAATACGCTGACAATAGGCTACTAAAAGTTTTTCTTTAGCCAGATTAGCCTACACTTTCTTAATAGCAAACACAGGCTTTACTCCCTTCAAACTTTATCTGGAATGTCACTGTTACTGTTACTGTAACTTCCTTGTTCCTTGCTCGCCAAGAATGCCTCTTGGATACCCGTCCAATGTTGCTCGATGTCCGTCAGATCGGCAAGGGCCTCGAAACGATTTCGTAGATCAATCTGAAACTGGATGACCATATTCAGATCTTTGATTTTTACAACATCGAATGGACGTGGCTGATGAAAAAAATAAATATTAAATTCTCATAATATAAAGGCAAACACTATAATACTTTTCATTTACAGTTTACTTTATTTAACAACTGTTAAAAAAAGAAAGTCGGAGTCTGTAGTCTCTGTGCTGACAGACAGATAGATAGATAGATAGATGTAAACATTTGTAAAAATACATTTTTTTTTTTAATTTGTAAAGGTCTCAGCCCTCTGCAATCGCCAGATAATAAATAGTTTGCTTTGTTCTTCAACCATTATCTTATATCTAATGTTTGAAGATTTCGTTTTTTTTTTTTTTTTTTTTACAGCCGACCCGCATGGTTTGATCTCCCACCTCCTCCTTACCCTCCAGAGACTACTACAGTTCAGTCTGAGAGAGAACCACCTGTTTATGAGGACCCAGCTGAAATTACAGAATCAGCCAGAGCTGTATTATCTCAAATCAGGACCAACAACACCAACACTGACACCAGTTGTGCAGAGTAAAGAGTCTTGGCAGCCACCAGTCAATTCAGAAGATATGGACTGTATGTACATTATGAAATTTCTATGCAGAATGTTTAGAAAGAAAAGCATTGATGATGTAGATGTTTGCAGATTCACCAAGTATGTGTAGGAGCATGTTAGTGCCATCATCAGGTGGCCAAATAACTGTATTACTTTTATCATAATCAATGCCATTGGCAGCCAAAAAAGCACTATACAGATGGTGCTAATCCAGAATTAGCTTTTTACTATTGTTGCAATAGTTTAAATATACAATTGACACTATTGACTGCAGTAATGCTATGAGCATAGACTTTACCTACACAGTAAAATCCTGAGTGTTAAATTAACTGCTCGGAGCATATACGGCAGAGGTGGGACTTTCAAGTCACAAGCAAGTCTTCAAGTCATATCCCAAGTTCTCAAAGAGTTAAAGTTAATGAGATAATCAAGTGACTAATTAAATGATGATTAAGCATTAGCGATGAACAGCTGCTGTTAACAATCAACATCATTGAAGAAAAGAGAAACACAAGAACTACACCTGACTTCAGCCACAGCCTTGGATGAAATCAACTGAAATCAATAACAGCAGGTGTTCATCACTAATGCACAATCGTCATTTAATTAGTCACTTAATTATCTCATTAACTTTAACTCTTTGAGGACTTGGGATATGACTTGAAGACTTGCTTGTGACTTGAAAATCCCACCTCTGATATACATTCCCATTCTACAAGAGTGTTAAAGTTAATGAGATAATTATGTGATTAATTAAGTGCTGATTGAGCATTAGTGATGAACAGCTGATGATAACAAGCAGAATCACTGAAGAAAAGAGAAACACAAGAACTACAACTGACTTAATGCTGCATTCCCGTGCTATCGGAGTTATTGTAAATACGAGTTTCAATAGAAGCTAGTATTTACGATAATTCTGATAGCATGTGAATGCAGCATTAGTGTTTCATAGTTGGAAACACTAGCCTTAAATGAAGCCTTAGCCTTCCTAGCCTTAAATGAAATCAACTGAAATAAAAGAAAACATTAATTTTCTCAAGATCTCAGCAGAAGGTGATTAATCATCTCCACAAACAGCATCACCAGCTTTACACATTACTAAGCAGTTTGACTTTTTTGTCATGCGTCTAAAACTTTCTTATTAAGAATTAACAGAGACTTAGATGTTAATATATAATTAAAATAATAAAATTTGAAGTCACTGTTGTAGAGATAAGTGCTGGGCTTTAGTTGGGCTCTTGAACCTTGACTTTTTAACATCAGTTTTTCTCTGGTTGCTGTAATTGTGTTTATGAATCAAATATGCAATGGCAGAAAAACTAAGAGAAAATGTGATCAGATTGAATTGGTTGCTTCTGATGTAGTTGTTATGTAAAGCATTCTTCACTAGCATCATCAGTTGTGATGTGTAATTTATTTCACAACTGCATTTCTAAAAAAAAAAAAAACAATAGGAAGAACTTTAAACACACTTAAATCACTATTAAGACACGCAGACATCAAGAATCAGCATATGAATCTCAACAATGGTGACGATCATCAGAGATTCATGTTGCTGCGCAATCTGGGTGCACCAGTCATAACTCATCCATGGCTCCCAGCATGCATTGCAAAATGAATAAATTATGCAGCTGCATTATTTTAGTATTTTCTTTTATTCTTACTATTTGCTTTGATTTTTTTTGTGACTTTTTACTGCCTTGTTTCATGACGTTCAAAAGTCACATAAAAATTATCAGAATATTTTGTCACCATTGCTGAGATTCACATGCTGATTCTTCAACTCTATGAGTGCCAGCGTTGAAATCTTTTTAGGAACAATGTTTCTAATTTGTCATCATATCATAGAGCTGCAGTAATATAGAAATCATAAAAGCACTACGGATCTAAATAAAATGCAATCAGAGACTCAGATGCATGAAATTATTTTGTCATAAGTTTCTTGACCACATATGTGCTTTATACACAGTAAAATCCTGATTGTTAGAATAACACTGCTTGGAGCATATATGGTCCCACTCTAAAAGTGTGTTAAAGTAACACTGAAGCAGTTTTAAAGTTAATGAAATCATTATGTGATTAATTAAGTACCGATTGAGCATTAGTGATGAACAGCTGCTGTTAACAAGCAGGATCACTGAAGAGAAAAAAAACAAGAACTACACTGTGAAAACCCAAGAAGTTAGAGTAACTCAAACCGTTTGAGGAAACCGATTACACTGAAAAAAATGATTCATTGAATTTACTAATTTTTTTTAAGGTAAGTGGTTGCAATCAATTTATTTTAGCTACATTTAAATACATTTATTTGACTAACTTTCAGCATATTTTTTTTTAAATTAAATATAGCTCAAATAAATTGTTTGCGACCACTTACCTTTAAAAAATTTAGTAGCATTTTTTTCAGTTTACCTTAAACCAATTAAGTTTTAAAACTAATAGTTATGAGTACACTGAACTTATTTCAGTTGAGTTCACTAGAAGATATACATTGCAGTTAAGTAATTAACCACTTAAGCTCGGGGCGTTTTTTGGAATTTTCGCCTAAATTTTTCATACTCATGCCTGCAGCTATCTACAAATGCACAGGACGCGATTCACAAATAAATGCCAGGCAAAGTTGTGGTTGTGACATAAATATATATTTGTGAATATGTTTTTATTTGCAAATCTCATTTTATTTATTTGTGAATTTAATTCATGTTTGTGAAACTTTAAGATTTATTTGTGGATCATAATCTATTTATTTGGAGTTAAGCAACAACTCTACCCCCATACGTCTGAGTCTCTGATTGCATTACATGTAAATCTGAAGTGCTTTTGTGATTTCTATATTAATGCATTCTATGATATGATATGACAATGTGATGAAACTTTATAAACCACGTTTAGAAATATGGTTCATTCAGAGATTTCAATTCTGGTACTCACAGACATGAAGAATCAGCATGTGAATCTCAGCAATGGTGACAAAACATTCTGATAATTTTTATATGATTTTTGAACGTCACAAAACAAAGCAGAAAAAAGTCACAACAAAAATAAAGGCAAATAGTAAGAATAAAAGAAAATACTAAGACAATGCATAATTTATTAATGTCGCAATGCATGCTGGGAGCCATGGATGAGTTATGATTGGTGCACCCAGAATTCAATTCAAGTTTATGCATTTTACAATACAAATCGTTGCAAAGCTATGGAATGCCAATCCTGCCATAATTAGAAATAAATAAAGAAATGTACAAAGAAATGTAAAAAAGCAAATATAAATAAACATAAATATACAAAGAAAGTAAAAAAGCAAAAATAAATAATTATTTATCATTTTATTTCCTTTTTTATTTTTTTATTTTTTTCCACATTTATTTTTTCTTTTATTTATTTCTACATTTATTTATTTCCACTTTTATTTATTTTCACGTTTATTTACACATTTATTTATTTCTACATTTATTTATTTTTACATGTATTTATTTTCACATTTATTTATTTATACATTTCTTTGTCCGTAGGGTAATGAGAAGGGCGTGTTTTACCTCAGGAAGTAAGATGGCAAGTGTAAATAAATGTCCCCTGCTCTCCCTCCACTCACCATCATGAACAGCACTGTAACGACAGTGGAGACATTCAGGTTTCTGGGCACCACTATCTGTCAGGACCTGAAGTGGGACAATCACATTGAGTCCATTGTCAATAAATAAATGTCCACAAACACTGCTTCCTGACAGACAGGCAGCAGCTAGTGAGGCTGGGAAAATGGCAAGTAAGATGGCGCCGCACACGGCGGCCAGTGTTTGTACTGTTTTTGTTCGTTTTTCCTGTTTTTTGTTTCTCAAACACGATCAGTTTTACCAGGGATGAACTGCTGAACATTCGGCAGAACACACCACAAACTCTTCTACTGGATTTCGATTATTCTGACGTTTTGCTGAACATTGTAGTTGGCGGAGCTGATCAAGCATTTCATGACGCGCAGAAGGGAGGAAGATAGCCGGCATGCTCATGAAACTCAGGCAGTGCGGATTTCGAACGCCGTTGCCTAGCATCCATCTGGCGAATCTCCGCTCTCTACCCAACAAAACGGACGAACTTCTGCTCTCCAGGACAAACAAGGATTTTTCAAACTCTGCTGCTCTGTGTTTCACGGAAACCTGGCTGAATGACGCTATTCCGGACAGCGCACTACATCTGCCCGGCTTTCAGCTGTTTAGAGCAGACCGTGATGCATAATCAACAGGGAAGGTCAGTATAAGATGTCCCGGCAGCGGGACATGTTTTTACATTAACGAAAGGTGGTGTACAGATGTTACAGCATTAAAGATGTGCTGTCCCGATCTAGAAGCTCTCTTCATTAACTGCAAGCCGTTCTATTCACCGCGGGAGTTTTGTTCGTTCATTCTCGTGAGTGTTTACATTCCTCCGCAAGCGCACATGAGCTCAGCTTTACAGAAACTCGCTGATCAGATCACAGACACAGAACAACAACACCCAGACTCTGTTATAATCATTCTTGGGGACTTTAATAAAGCAAATCTTTCCCGTGAACTGCCAAAATACAGACAGCATGTTACATGTCCCACCAGAGACGGTAATATACTGGATCACTGTTACACCACAATAAAGGATGCATATCGCTACGTCCCACGGGCAGCTTTGGGGCTCTCTGATCACTGTTTAGTTCATCTTATACTGACCTACAGGCAGAAACTGAAATCAGCTAAACCTGTATTAAGGACTGTAAAAAGATGGACTAATGAAGCAGAGCAGGATTTACAAGCTTGTTTTGACCTCACTGACTGGAGTGTTTTTGAAGCTGCTGCCACCGATCTGGACGAGCTCACAGAGACTGTAACATCTTATATCAGTTTCTGTGAAGACATGTGCATTCCTACCAGGACTCATTTAACCTACAACAATGACAAACCATGGTTCACTGCAAAACTCAGACAGCTCCGTCAGGCCAAAGAAGATGCTCGCAGTTATGGGGAAAGATTCTTGTATAAACAGGCCAAATACACACTGGAAAAGGAGATCAGCGTGGCAAAGAGGAATTATACTGGAAAGCTAAAGAATCAATTATTTTCCAGTGATCCTGCTTCAGTGTGGAAAGGTCTGAAAGACATCAATTACAAGACACCATCCCCCAGCACTGTGGAGAATCAACAACTGGCAGATGATATGAATGAGTTTTATTGCAGGTTTGAAAAAACACCATTCACACTTCCTGCAACCTGTCAGGTCTTCAGAAAGAACAAGAGAAGAAAAGCACCAGGCCCAGGCGGTGTGACACCAGCTTGTCTGAAAATCTGTGCTGACCAGCTGGCCCCCATCTTTACACA